GATCTGGCGGCTCAGCATGCGCAACAGTCCACGCACCTGTAGCTGCTCGTACTTCTCCTGCCAGGCGTCGCCCACGGCACTCTCCTCACTGAATCGAGTGCTCATTGGGACTCGTCCGTTGGCGTGAGCTTTTTGCTTTTTGTTAAGAGAAGAGAAGCCACTTGACTCAGAATTCTGATTCTTTAAACGTAAACTTCAACAGCAACGTCAAAGTTGTCATAATCAGGAATATTCTGTTGCTAGCGTTAAAAAAACTACGCAAGTCTGCATAGCTACTCAATAATCAAAACCACCACATCGACGGCACCCGGCATGCTCACTACATAATGGCACAACCACTTTCGCTCGACTGCTCGGCGTCTTCCATTTCCGCGTCCTCATCAGGAGCCGCCACACCACCAGCTTTCAGACTCTCTTCCATCTAGATACACACAATATATCAGTACATCTCGTAGCTCAAGGCAGATAATATTTGTCAACGTACCTGCTCCTTCGTGAAAAGAAACTTGGTGTCCACAGAGAACTTGTCGCCGTTATCGTAATGCATCAGGTACATGCCGTTGTCCAATTGCTTCAGAACTACTCCACGGACAAATTGCGTGCAGCTCTCGCCCACGGTGATCTTCGAATACAGAACAGACCCAACGCCAAACTCAGGGCGCGCTTTGCGGTGCTTGCCAGTATTTTCTAGTGCAGCAGCTACTACCGCCTGAATACTCTCCAGAGAATGCTCATGTTTCTTCACCTCTTTCTTCGAATTGGGGCTATTGCTGACCTCTTTTGAAGCAACAATTGCCGAGATCGCCGTTCGGTACGGTGTGACTGCCTCCGCTTGGCTGTGTGTAAACGTCGGTACGGTAAACGCTGGAATAACCTGCTCATCCAAAGCATTCGGCTTGACGAACACAGGAGCCGCAGGGTCTGGCTGGTCTTCTTGTACCTGCACTGCTACGGCGCCACCTGCAGCTTCCTCGATAGTAGCCACAAACTTCTTCATGACATCCTGCATCGGCCCACTAAGCTGCATCCACAACGCCTTAAACTCACGAAGCAGCATCTGGCGCACCGATGCCGGTAACACCGTCTGCTTGTCCTCCCAAAGCTGCTGCTGACCTTCTGCGATCTCCATGATCACTTGCATGGAACTCTGCGTTACCCCAATAAACTCGCGAATACGCTGCTCGATATCACTCTTCTTTATCGGTGCAGAGTCACCAAAGTACTCATTATGGGCAGCCAAAGCTTTCTCCTGTTCTTGCAGTTCCTCTTTGGCTTTGGCCTGCTGAATTGAATGAAATTCATAATAATGGGCTAGTGAGCGTGTGAGCATCGGGATAAATTCTTCCAAAGACGACGTCGTGCGGGCCTCTGAAATTGCGCGTGCGTCTTCAAGGCCCTTTGACGAGCTCGTGAGTGCTTCTTCTCGCCGCTCACGGGTTTTTCTGAATAAAATATGAAGGTTCTTGTGGAAGGCTAGTGCATGTTCAGCAACCGTCAGAGCACGCGCAGATTCCTCTACTTGTCGTTCACACTCGCTACGAGAGCTCCATAGCGCTTGCACCTCAACGTCGTCTTTCTTCCAGACTCCAACTACCGAGTCAAGCGTAGCACAGGCTTCTGTCTCGCCCTTTTCAAGCAGTTCTTGGCGTCGCTTGTTGACAAACTCCACAATCTGCAGTGATCTCGCTCCCTTCTTCTGCTTCGCCTCCGACAAGGCAGATTCTGCCTCCTTCACGTCATGAGTGCAGATATCCACCAGTCCTTTCAACTTTTTATCCAAAGTTTCAAGTATTTTGCCCACATCAGCCGTCTCTTTGCCGTTTTTATCACCGGACCGAGCAAGCCAAGCCAATCGATCCATGTACGCCTTGCACGCTGAAGACAGGGACTCGATGGCGCTCTTCGCAGCATTAGCGCGAGAATACGCACTCAACTCCGCTGTCTGGCTCTCAGCTTGTGCGATAGCTGCGACTTCCTTGTCATGCTTCGTCAACACTTCGTCCTTTGGCTGCAACGCCAATGAATTGTTGGAACTGGCCGTGCACGGTGGCAGACTGGCTGCCACCTCAACGATCAGAGCAGCGCCTCGCGTTTGGATATCTGTGGCGTACTGGGTCTCCACGTCCTTCACCCAGGTGGCCAAAGCATCCACCGTCAAGTTAAGATGCATAGCTAACTCCAGCACTGCTGGCACCTGAAGACTCGCCCAAACTTGGTTCACCCAGTCCGGATTGCGCAGAGGCTGAGTGCCTGCCACACGGTCCTCTACTGTCTCTAGCAGCAATTCCTGCACTCTCGCGCAATTTGCAGCAGTGAATTGCATCTCTGTGCCTTGCTGTGTGTCTGGGGTCGTGTCCTTATCGTGGTTCTCCTCTTCCTTCTCCTCCGTGTCCATCAGCGAGAAGCTCAGATCTTTGTGTCTCTTACTGGGCGCGCTTTTGTCCTCTGACGAAGCACTCAAACGACGTTTCTCTCGTTCTGGTGATATCATTCTGGTGTTGCTTGTTGCAGCGGGTGCCGACGCTGGGATCACAATCGACTGTTGGTGGCGGCGACTCGCCTTCAGATACTGGTAAGCGTGTTCTGTGCGGTTATTACAGGCGCGCAGCGCACCCACGAGTTCCTGGCTACTTAGTGGCGGCTCGAATTCGTACATTGCAAGTACGCGAAGCTGCTCCAGCTCGCGCAAACTCGGTGTGTCTCGTGGATTCCCCCAGTACGAGTCGTGTGTCCCTGTTCCCATATTCTCAGACTGAATTGCGAAAAGTTGAAAGCTGCATTAAAAAAAATTACCAAAATAAAAATTGACAATTACAGTATACACGTTCAATTTTGACGAGATGTGACCTAGCAGCTCTATTAGTATGAGGTGTCGACATCCTCGTCATCTTCTTTCTCTAGCTGATGGGAGATGACTGCTGCGACGCACCACTTGTCTTCCAAAGGATCTTTCTCCAGCTGCAGTATCGTATACTGGCCCAGTCGCAGTGAGCCTGCATGGTCAATCCACATCCGTCAATTGTCAAAAAGATCTTCACTAATGAACACATATCAGTCAGCATGGACGCACCTGGATAGATCAATGGAAGCTGCGCGTGTGGATGCTGGTCGCTGCCGCCAATGATCTCAATCGCACGAGGTTCTTCTGGCTTGTTCGACTGCAACATCGGCAGCAGACCAGCGAAGAAGGAGCTTTCCACCACAGGCAGCCGCGTCTTGACCGATGAGTCGCGCAGTACCAGCACCATATCGCGGTCCTGCATCGGGTCCTTGCCGTCGTTCACTAATCTGTCATTAAGAATATCAACCAAGGCTGTGTTAGTCAAATCTTCACTCATCAGATCGTTTAAGCGATGCATACTTGAAATATCGCGCTTCACCCATGATCGTCACGCCCTCAATAAGTTGCTCTTCTTGGTAGTAGACATTAGACGAGTATTGCGTCAATGACGGCGCCGACACGGCGATACTGCGCGTCGTGGGCGGGTCGTTCTGCTCAAATAAAGTTATCCACAGCCTCCCAGTCAACTCCTCGCAACAGGCTTTAAAGCAGAAAGCAAGCGTACATTGTCGGGAATGTAGAGAACGCGACAGATGATCATTTCGAGCCGTGAGATGAGCGCCATCATGTCTCCTTCGGCTGCCGCAACAGCTTCGAGCGCCTCGTAGTCATGCGGCCCACGTTTGGCCACCAGACCGCCAGCTACGAGCACGGCACTTACATCGCAGTC